ATCGAAGGAGTGCTGGAGTATTGTAGGATCCCTATTAATAGTCCAAATCTTGACGCTTTTTTCTCAACTAAGGCACTAATAATTAATTCACACAAGCACCCTCTTCCAACACCTAAAAAATATTCTTAGCATTAAAACCACAGATTTCTTAACATTCCTTCGTTTGAGAGCCATATTTTTATATTTCATATAAGTAAACTAAATTCGACACTTCAAGCAGATGGCAAACCTCTTCAAAATTTTTTCAAACTATGTACTGCTCCTTGAAATCCCTTTCGTTTGGCACACATATGGTGATACATATTTCTCAAACCTAATATGATTTTTTAAACAGGTGGCAACCCTCTTATAGTCCAGCTAAGAAACAGAGCTTTTTAAAGCCATTTCGATTGATATAAATTTTTTAATAATTGGTATAGTTTTTAAATAATTTGAACTAAATTTTTTAAAATGGGGCAAACTCTTTTCGAAAAAGTTAAACCTTATTGCACATCTACAGCCAGAGCCTTTTAATTTGGAACCTCACTTTGGAAACCGAATGAAAGGTACAGATCTGATGGTATGATTATTTAAAAATTTGAATTTAATTGTTTAACAGATGGCAAGTGCTTTCGAAAAAATAAAACCAGTTTGCACATCAACAGGTAAGCGCCACCACACTTTTGAAAATCGAACGAATGGTGCAGATCTTTTATCTTGAACAAAAAATGCCTTCGCGTATTATATATATAAGTTTTGTAATATCGTACATCGAATGATCAGCTTTTTGAGGGTTTGTTATGAGTAAATACTTTATTGGCACTTTACTCTAACCATCTGAGATAATGCTACCAAACTTCATACACAAGGGCATTGTAACCATACCCAAGTAGTTTGATTAGATGGTCGAAACCAAGAGAAAAGGGAAACCTCCCTGTGGGCAGCGTCCCATATGCGTTTAATAATCACGTAATTTTCCAAAAGCCACTTGAAACCCCGCACACGAAGCAAAGAAAACGTAATATTTGAACTAATTTATGCAATAAGGATGTACAGTAGTGTGGTCCAAGAAATTCCTTTTTTTAATGTTATTCAGTAAAAATATTGTATAGTTAATATAACAGATTAGAAAATAGAAAATGCTAGAGTCCGCGGTGCTTATGGCCCTTAATAATGACAGCGAAATTTTACTTTGGGTATTTCCTAATTTTTGGGAAAATCTTTTTTTGCTCTATTGAAATTAATTCGACTATCCTTAATATGCTTTTGATACTCAAATCATCTTAAAGCCAAAATCAAAGTCTAATGTGAGTCAAAGGAAATTAAGTTCTTTCGGCAAAAATGTCAAAGCGACACGTTTTAGTCACTGGCTCCACGGCACAAAAGCGAAGCAAAACTTACTTAGCTAAATGCTGATGGAAAAACCAGCAAATGAAACGTAGAAGATTGAGCTAACACACTTTGCCTGCTCGCAGTGGGATGAGAAGCAATTTTAGCGCGCTAAAACTCATTGTCTTAAATTCTCCTGCTATTTTCTGAAATTTTTGTTAATTATTTTTTAAGAGTACTTTCAATACCAGTTACATATTGTTAAATTTAAAGCAATGTTTTACCGAAAACTATGCATACTTCTTATTTTCCGATAATTTTAGTGCTGACTTTAATGAAATATGTAGTAAAAATGTGAATATTTAGAACATTTTGCGATAATGAGACAATTTTGGTTTTTTGAGATTTGAAAAAAGTTAACAATTTTTTTTTTTGATATGGTCTAACATAAAAATAAATATCATAAATGACTTCAGCCACGCCAAGTTACAAATGATTATGCAAAATAGATTTTTGGCGTGCTAAAATTGATTCTCAGCCCACTATGCATCCTTCTGAACATCAATTTCGTGCCTGCCTGTCATTGTCGACATCACGTGGCAGTTATGAAGTTTCCGACATGTTTTCTAAGTTAAGTGTCTTCACAAAGTAAGAAAAAAACTTAAAAAGCAAAGAATAGTTACAAATGAAGTTTCATAAGTGGACGCATATGCACAAAATAAAAGTGGAAAAATATATATTGTGGCGAATACTGCGGCAACACAAAGCGAACAACGAGAAATAGGCA